CTGTGGCGATATCCTTGTCTTGGCGAGCTTCGATGTGCGCTAGGCGCACATCGAGAGGCTCGCCGCGGAGCATCCGGTAGAATTCCTGATGAGGGAGTCTGTGGCCACGTCTCAACGCGGTTGTAGGGCCCGCGCCTGCATGGCCCCGCAGTACGCGAGGGGGCCATATTTCACCACGAACTCGGTGCAGAGTCGGTTGCGGAGTAAGAAAGAAAGCTGAGGTGCTGAGCGTGCGGCGCGCCGTTCCACTTCTTCTGCAGTTTTCCCGGCATTCATTGGCCATGGCCATCGCATCGGCAATCACCTCGGTCACTTTCTAAATGAAGTCCCAGGAACGATCATGACATCTGAGGCCGCAGCGTCTCATGAGCGCATCCAACAGGTCCGTGGGGAAGAACGGGGCCGAAACCAAGGACGGCAGGAGTGCTCTGACTCTGCGGAAACCATCTTCCATCGTGTCTTCCTTCATACGGCCAGGGTGGAATGTTATTTGCCCTTAAATTTGCACACCCGCTCTGCCCCGAGAACGTTGTGAAGGGTTTGTCGTCTGGCATACATCGCTGAAACTGCACGCTGCAATGCATTTCCAATCAACTTCCTCTCATCGTTGAGTGTTGCTTCGTCTCTGTCATCATTCCACTGTTGCTCCCTCTTTCGTCTTTGTTGAATTGTACATGTTCCCCCTGTGGCTATGCCGCCGTCCCGCTACACTTACCCAGATGAGAGCAAGGATAAAGGAGCAAGGAAAGTCAACGCCAGAAGCGGCAGGGAACAGATGAACTGATACATGAGGTGGAGGAAGGGAGCGAGGCAGTGGGAAAAGGGGAAAACAGGCGATCAGAAAGACAGAAACAGAGGGGCGCTGCAGGTAACTCTGTCCCTCCTTGTTTTGATTTTGGCCTCCTCTTTCCCAACTTGTTCATGTTCTTCTTTTCCTCCATGTCTTCCCCTTACTTTTCTGGGTGTTGCTAAAGTAAAGTTTAGGGCTTAGGGCTGTTGGGGCGTCTATCATTTTGGGTTTGCCACTGAAATGTGTGTCCCCCCCTGGAAGAAAGCTCGTGGAGCACGGCAGGTTTAGTCCAGAGCTTACATGGCAGCAGGGCAAGCAGACGCTCTTTTGCTGCTCGTGCAAGCCATGGATCAGATACAGCAGCGAAAGACCGCGAAATCTCAAAAACAACACGGATTACGAAAGCAGACAACTGCACTCCATCGGTTTCGGTACTGGTGGCTACTGTGGGTCCCCAGCACACCGCCGCCGTTCAGGGACGATTTCTGATAACGCCAATTTGCAGTTCAGCATAAGGCCGGATTGGCGGGACCGGTTTGGTTGCAGCGGGCGGATTGACGAAATGTGAGAAAGGAGGTGGTTTGTGAACGGAAGCGGGGCAGGCGAGTCCAGCAAACGCAGCACATCCGACATATCCAGCATCATCAACACAATCGCCCATGGATTTGCAGGAAATGCCAATCTCTTCGAAGGTCTGAAACCCATCATTTGCAGGAGTGGCTGGTTTTGAGAACTGATGCAGACAGCCTTCAGTTCTACCGTTATGACTCAAGGGCCCTACGGCGGTACATAAACTAAACATTCAGATCACCCTGGCCTTTACACCTACACATGCTGTGATCTTCTTACTCAGCAGCGCACGCGCTGAACATGGATTCAGACTGGTCTGTCTTCCTAATTGATGCGAAAGCCCCGCGAGCCCAGCGAGCGAGTCCGGCTATTAAACACAGGCCATAACGCAATTTCACAAGTTACTGGCTCCCAGGAAGTGTTTCCAATTGCTGTTCTTACGGCGGGTGTTTGCACTTGCTTGGGAAGCTAAACTTTCCAAGCGACCCTTGTAAGGCCCTCTCCTTATTTTGGTCTACTCATGAGTTTAGCACGTGATGTTTCAAAGCACGAGGCATAAGCACGCTTCAGGATTCAAGGATTTCCGAGTTGAAGGCTTTACAGAGAATGTGAAAACATGGATGTAGCCGTTCCGAGGTTTACGGCTTGCAAATTGTTTGCGCGTCAAATGTCGCTCGAACTTGAAAGCTTGTGTTGAGTTAAGTTTCGACTGTACATGACTGTACGCTTTAGGAAAGTGTATAGGGTCTATAATGAGCGTTCGCAAGCTTGGGCGTGCCGTCTAAGGTCAGAGTCAGGCTTTTTAGGTCAGCCGCGGTTTAGGTTCTAAGGCTTGCAATGCAAGAACCGTTTTTCCGGGGATGCAACGCTTGGCGTTTTGGGGCTTATGCAGGGCCAGCTCTAGGGTTCATATGTAAGACTCCCGAAGCTTGCCGCCAACAAGCCAACATGCAAGGAAGTCTTCATGCCAGGAAGCTGCTACAAAACGCCCCAGCAATAAATCTCAATGTGTTCAGGAACGATTTCCAGACATCCCCGATGTCGAAATGTCGAAAACAGCTCAGGATGCCTTGAAACACCAACTATTCACTGAAGCCTGAACCCTGAAACTCAAACCCGAACGCTGAAGCCTCAGCACCCGTCCTTCAACCTTCTAGCCGTGAACAACATCCCTCAAACCCTCAAACCCCCCGAAATCCTCCAACCCTGAAGCCTGGAACCTTGAAACTCTCAAAAATCGTAAAGCCTTGAAACCCTGGCACCCTCAAACCCTCAAGCCCTGACCCTCAGCATTCAAGTTGCATCCTCTACCCCTCACAAAAAGATAAACGCTCATTCCTACTGGGGGTTTCTGGGAGTGAGGGCTGCTTATGGGTAGGGGGAAGGAAAATTAAAGCCAAGTCACTAGGAAGTCATTGAGCCATGGGTGCCGCCAAGAGAGAGACAGCCAAAATACAAAGACGTAAGGAGCCACAGGAGGGGAGGAGAGCGACGCTCCGTTCGGCCAGGTTTGATGTTGAGTCTGTAGCGTGTTTAGGGTTAATGGCGTAGATCTTCGGGTTGCGCGCAACCCCGCGAGCGTTGTGCTGAGAAATCGTGCCACGCAAAATGCTTTCCAAGTTCGGGACGGTCCCAAATCCCACACAATCAATGTGTCGGAAAATGAAGATTCAGGCACGCGCCTCCTTAAACTTTACATGAACCTCCAAGCTCAAGGTAACTCGGAAAAACTTAAACAATGAATGGGCATAACAGTAAGCTTTCAACGCACTTGTTGGATGCACAGTTCGGCAACCTTACTCCACAAAAAGACCCGCATCTTCTTCCTAGCAGGGCGGAACGCTGTACAACATTCCACGCCCCAGTGCCATGCCCCCGCACCGCTGAATTACTGAGCTCGGAAGACAGGCTCGCAAAGCTTGGCTCATTGGAACTCACATGCAGTAAACGTGGGATGCAAAGACTAAGCGCAAACGCCTGTTGAGAAACGCAGCAACCGCACAAGCCCACCGGTGCCCATGACAATGCCGGTCCTGCAGCGCGAACGCCGCTCGTGAGGCCACGATCTGCACGCAAAACCCATTGACGTTAAGCAGGCACAACAAGACAAGGCTCGCACCAAGGATGCCACCATGGTTTCCAATCGAGCAAGGCGAGCCTGTGCAGGACCGTGCCGCGAATGCGACCGCGATTCAAAGCATCCGGGTCATGCATTCGGGCTTCGGGTTTAGTCTCCAGGTTTACCATCAACGGTCCTGATTGCGACAGCTGGCCTCCATAGGATCGTTGATGCCTCCAGAAATTCATGGATCGACCTACGGCCCATGCCCCTGAAAGCTCGGAAACAGTTTGCCTCTGCCAAATCCAATTGGCACGGCAACAGCTTGGCACAGAGTTCCAATCGAGTTTGATGTCAACCTGCAGCGGCCGCGCGACCGCCTGCTCCGGCTCCTCCGCTGGCTCCTCTGCCGGCTCCTCCTCCGGCTCCTCCTCCCATTCGCCTGGGCCCGGGCTTTGGAAACTGTTGATCCAAACCGACATGGCAACCTCACGGCAACTTTCGTTTAAGCTCGCTGCCAAACACCAGGCGAGTCATCTGCATAGGCAAGCGCTTGGGGGTGAGAGGCATCGACTCTTATGGTACTGCACCATTTCCGGTTGCTGAGTCTGTCCACGTGTCTGCCAACTACAAGAAAGCATTCAACGCAGGCCATGCAAACACTAAACACTAAACTAAACCTAATCAGGCCTTCTGCCAGCACTGCCAGCCATCGACTGCGATCTCCGCAACAGCCTGCGCGCGGCCACTGCAATTTTGCCAAGTGGGTGTGTAGTGCAACGGGAAGCTCTAGTCATGTGCAATGGAGAAATTCGAGGCACCCCACCTCGCATGCCAGCTGCAGCGTCACCTCTTGCCACTTGACAAGTTGTTGTCGCGCTACTTCTAGCGGCTAACACCCCCATTCAAACTGAATTATTTCGTTTCTCGTCCCACTTGTCGTGGGTGCTGCTGCTGCTGCTGCTGCTGCTGCTGCTGCTGCTGCTGCCGGCACTCTAAAACCGGTCCAAAAGCTAATCGACAACCCGCATCTTGCATCTCGGCGTCCATCCCTGTTGTCAGCCCATCCCCCGCAATGTCTTCGCTCCATCCACCTCCCGGCCCACCCAACTTCCATACCTTTGGCACTGTTCGTCTGGGGCCTCTAGCTTTACCTTCTCTCCTTTTTCCCAAAAAGGAACGGGCTGTACTTTAATAGTCGTATCACGACTGCAACGCTTCTGAATGATTATCGTGCCTCCAACGGAGGAGTCGACATCGCGGAAGGCGCAGCAACCGCTACTGCTGAATGATTCGATGCTGAGCGGCGCCAGCATAGCAAGCTCGTGCGTTCTGGGTCGCGTTTCAAAGAGGACAAGAGACTGGATCGGCGATGCGAATGCGTGCCTGTTTCTACCCTATCATGCCGCCAAGACAAGCACGGTAGTATGCCACGGCCTTTTTTGTTGAATCAATGCCTGTAACGGCCGCTCGCTGCGACTCCTGTTCCGGTGCATGCGCACCAAGGGTGACACAGTTGCCGGGACTGTCGCTTTTCAGCGACTCTGTGCAGCCCGGCAAGAAAACACTCCCTGGCACATGCTATCCTTTCATGGCCATCCTGAGCCAAGATCTCAACAAACGACTGTTTGCGAATCCTGCTCCAGATGTTTTACGTAAACAGGACGGCAGCACGGCTTCAAAATGTCGAGGTCCTGCACATATCAGTCCGTACTATACTAAGCTTCATCGACTTTGTATACATGGCACGGGCTGCGACCACAGCCCCACATGGCTACGTCTCGCAATTATGGCCATGACTGCGCTTTCAGCCCCACAAAACAGGCAGGTGGAACCAGCAGGAGTGAGTGGATGAAACAAGAAACTGGTGCGCATCGCGCTCGCGGACGAGGTTGGAAGCCTTCTCGTGGACTTTGTAGATTGTCTTTGGCACAAGCCTACAGTCAAGATGCATTCGTCACGACTGCAGACAGCAGAGAGGGCCCCGCTTCGAAGTCGCTGTGAGGCAGCCGTTGTCTGGCGTCCTGCGCATCGCGCGGACAAGTCACCCCGAATTCACGGGTGCGCTTGGACCCGGGGCTGTCCATGGCTCCAACACGGGCATGACAGCGGTGGCTTGCATCAGGGAAGGGAGCTTTCCCGCCTGTTGCAGCACGACTTCCTGGAATTCAACTGTTGCACGCACATGCTCGATTTCAACGGCCTTCGCAACCACGTCTAGAGCGGCCTTCACTGCAGCCATCACCTTCAACTAACGTTGAGCTCGCACGACAAATTACATGCACTTCCGCGTCCTGGAAATGGCCTTGGGATCTCTGCAGAGCTCTTCGCCATCTTTTCCAGTGACCTTGGCACTGCAGCCAGGCCTCACTATGTTGATGTGCCCGTTAATTGGAGGCTGTAAGTGCGCTGCTCCATTTTTGGCTGCAAGCTCAACCAGCTCTTTCCGTTTGCCTCAGCGCAAAAGGCGGCGACACCTAGACTGCGGTGGGTGCTTCTCGGGCAAGTGCATTGAGCCAGCAGTACCGGCCGATCGATTTCATGGCTTGCGAAGCAGCAAACACCTACTTGTACAGCGGCAGAAACACCGCCCCAGCTTACGCCAGCATTGCTGAGTAGTTTGGTCGCAAGCAGCGCTTCGCATTGGTGCGCCTCCGGCGTCGGCGTTGATGATATCTGCATTGTTGTAGGTCACCTTCAAGTATCCGTATCTCAAGTCCTTCGTCTTCTTGAAGACAGAGGTCCCCACGTTGATCATCTCAAGTGCGACGTACTCGCCGCCCTTGAGCTTGACCTCAGTTTCTTAGAGTCGGCCACGCCTCGTGAAGTCGTGCGAGGATGCGTCCATATCTTCCACTGGGGTCGCAGCAAGGTTCTTCTTTCGGTCAATGATCTTGACCTGGCCTGCGACAGGCAGCTAAACGGAGGAAGGAAGTACAGAATCAAACAGAGAGCTGCTGGGAGCCTTCTGGGGTTATGAGTCCAATGTCGCCGGTGTGGAACCTCAGGTTTCTCACCCACTCCAAACTCGCAGAAAGAGCGCTTTCAGGCGGCCGGCCAGCCGTCCTTGTCAAAGTCCTCTGCCTGGGCTCGCAGCGGGCAAAGCCATGAGACTCCCCTCGGCCTTTTGTCTGACACGAGCTCCATTTTCTGCATGGTCCGGCCAAGTCGCAGTCTTGTCCGGAAGCTTGTAGTAACCAGATCCGACGGACAAGCCTGGTCGAGGCAAGAAACGCCTGGGCGGGATCAAGCCACATCGACACCGAAGTGTGCGTAGCGCCTTTGATCCAGACTTCGCCACGGCCACGGCAAGGATCCCCGAAGTGGTCCTTCGCGTTTGAGGGTTCTTCGCTTTGGGGCAACAGCCGGCGGAGCCTGATCCGTGCAGAGGTAAGGCTTGCCCGCGGAGTCGCTGAGCTCTGGCCTGAGCTGAGGAAGCGAAGGCAGGAGAACACTCCTCACTCTCACACACCGGGACCCCCGGCTCGGAATGCAGAGTAACCTCGATGGAGGCCAAGGGTGTGCCCACGGCCCCGATGCTGGGATCCAAGGGGCTCTGGATCCTCGGGGAGAGCCAAGGCTCTATTGATCGCAAAATAACACTTCAGAAGCTGCCCACACCAACAAAAGAAGACTGGCCGGCGCGGCGTGGCGCCCCCGCAGGTCTCGGTGAGCCCTGGAGGCAGGGTTGGCTCAAGCGACTGAAGGATTGCGACGCGAGGCCGTGGCCGTAACCCTGCACCAGAGGGCAAGAGAAAGCCGCCTGAGAGCCGCAGAGCATCGCGCAGAGCACCCGCACAAAAAGCAGCGCAGATCCAAGCCGACGGCCCGGACCCACTCCTGCCAGGACGCACCGAGAGAGCCGAAGGCTTAAGGCTTAAGGGATCCCATGCACTTCGCCACGAGCCTGGACTTCTCCGGAGATGGCGCCGCCGCCAGAGAGCGTAAACTTCATGCTTCCGCCAAGCCTTCCCGCTCAAGAAAAAGACAGCTGCTCGCCTTAAGGCCCAGGAGTAGGACGTCCAAGCATCCGACATGGACTTAAACTTCTTGAAGACCTATGGTGGTGCATGCAGCATGCACGATCAAAGTGCCTGTGAAGCACGGAGAGACAGTTGAGCTGAGCACCAGAAGGTCGAACAAAGGAGTGTACCGGTTCTGACGGACCTCAGGCGACAGATGCTCTCCTGCGCGAATGAAATGGCTCTTGTGCTTTACGCCGTCTTCGGCCGGGCCGGCCGAGCTTGCGATCGCTACCAGTAGCTCCAAGCTTGCAGTGTCAGTACGCGCTGCGACAGCCGGCTGTCCACGAGCTCCAGAACGACTGGGGAGCCGGCCGCTACTTTTTTCACCTTCATGGCCAACTTGAAAAGGAAGGACACCCTCGGAACAGCTCCAGGACCATGTGATTCGAGGCTGCTGCACTGATCGGTAAGAGCCAGACACAGGTCCGCTTTTCTCAACCTTCACCTCAGCACCTCAGCACAAGTTGGAGTCTTAAGGCCGTCGGGAGCCTCGTGTCACACCCGCATCTGAGGTAGCCGCCTTTTTTTATCGTCTCCCAAACCTGCCGAGCTGCCAGGTAATCTCGCACAATCTCGTCTGCCCGAACGGCTCCACAGCCTTGGGTACGCCGGCCATCAGCGTTGGCTTGAACCTCGGAGCACGAGAGCCGAGAGAGAGAGAGTGGCAAGAGAAGGAGGTGAAAAGGGAAGACTTGAAGACTTCAACTGGAGACGCGTCGGCTTCTGCTCAAAGATTTGCAGAATTTGCTTTTTGCTCTCGGCTCTCGGCTCCTGCAGGCCGCCCAGCGGGTAGCACCTCTCGGGACCTCAGAGTTCCGGGGCCCTGCGGGGGCCCCCCGCCTCCAAAGGCACCCGACAGAATCGGGACCGGCGCCCGCAAGCAGGGACTTGGCATCGGCGTAGCCCACGCAGTTCCCCGTCGAATAGAAGTACCTGAAGCGAGGGAACTCGAGCCAGGAAGACTCTCAGAGCGGGAGAAGGGCACAGCTCTGCAGCGACCGCCAAAATGTGGGCCAAGGGCAGATAGCCGATGAACATCTCGCCACCTCCCACAGCCCATGGAAGAATTCATCCGACAACTCGTCCATGTCGCACCTTCGTGGATCAAGGCGCCGAACTGGATGTAGCCTTCAGGACAGCATGCGCATTCAGTCTGTCTGCATCTCACGTTGCTTGCTGGATTTTGTAAAACCGTCCACGCAGAAACATTTCTGAAGCTTCGCACTTCCGGCAATCGCATCTCGCAACTGATTATAGAAGTTTCTACAGGCGGTCAGCACAAAGGCAGCCTGAGAGGGATCGAGAGGGGACGGAGAGGGAAAGGCCGTAGCCATTGTGCGAACGACAACACTGGCGATGGCCAGCGCGGAGACTGGGGCAATGTGGTAGAATTTATCTCACTAGGTGGTTTTGACGATTTTTCTCGGAATTTGCGAGGCCAAGTCCGGAGGCACTGACGATTTTACTGTTGCGCGATCTTGCTCGAATTGACGCCCTCGAGCTTTGGAGGAAGCAGCACTTGTTGAGATTGCCAACTCTTCACAACTTCATGAAACCCGCCGACAACAGCATTTCTTCGCCCTGGCTCCAAACCACAGTCAAATCATATAGCCCTCATGTCTGCGCTGCGGTCCTCGGGTTGAAGTTGGTTGAAGATGGTTTATGCAAGCCAACACAACAACTTGCGTGGCTCTCACGCAGCTGCTGCTTGTGTGCTGGTCAGAAAAAACTGTTGCGTCTCGGCCCTTCGCAAAATCATGCCCACACTTTCTCACTCTCGACTACCATGGGAAAACTGAGAGCCACACAAGATCCAACAAAGGCAACAAGCTGCGAGTGTCGCAGCACCACACCCTTTCGTGAAGCATTGCGTAAGAAACCTTTCACAACGTTCTGAGCCGAGACCTTGGGCGTCCCTGTCGAGCCGCTGGTGTACCTTCCGCACTAAATCGGGCTTTGTGTTGCGATGTAGCAAGCAGTGCAAGGGATCGGCGTGCCCGGTGCCCCCGGGACCTAGCCCAGACCATGAAGAAAGGAGGCCGCGCACATCAAGACCGCCACGGACTCCGGCTTCGGAGGGCTAGGCTCCACGGGGTTGGCCTCCGGCACGCGAGACTTGTCTTCTGGCTTGGCAAGCTTGCTGCTGCGCCTTGCCCAAGTCGAAGACATCGTTCCTGACCAAATATGCTATGGACAGACCACACATCACGGTGAGAGTGGGATTCAGTGGGATAATCGCCGCCGAGAGTGCAGTGACAGTAATTTCACGCTGCCCGCAGCTGTCAGGCGGTGTTTGCACTCATCCGGCCTGCCAGTACGGCGAAATGAGCAACAGGCATAGAGCGGACTGGGTCCTGGGTCGCCAACGTGCATAGGCTGTCCAGATAGATGATGACCTGGACGAAGACGAAGACGGACGACCACGGCAGACTGAGCTCGAGTCTGCGGTTGAGTTGCCTCCAGCGAAGGCATCTCGGAGGCCATCTTCACGAGACCTTCACAGCTGAGCAAAACATCGAAAACGCGCACAGCGCTGCACTGCGTTGCACTGCGCTGCACTCGCTGGGATGAGCGGCCCTCGGCAGCTTTTCGGTTGCAGACCAAGGCAGTAACTGCGCCTGCTGCGGAGGGCGACACGACGTCACTAGGAAGCATCGCTAAGCATCAAACGAAGCTACTCTGCAAACTTAGCCCCGAACCTTCGTTAACTGCGTGGACGACCGCATCAGTTCCGAGGGTGGCGTAACAGGTGGCAACTACTAGGTTCTGCGTCAGCGCTCCATACCTGGCAACGAATTTCAATGAATGTTCCGCTGAACAGACATATATCATCCAGATGCCATAGCGAAACTCTGCCGGAGAAGCGCGCAGATCTGCCAGTCTGCACAGGTGTCCTCAAACAGACACATCCCGCAGCTGAGTTTTTGAGCGACCAGAAGCCATGCCTCGTACATGAGAATCTTGAACTTCCCAGTCATGCTGTCGAAGTCACCTTCAGGCTGCGGCCTTGGTGAGTCACACCTGAACCTGAACACAGCGACCTGATCTTTTTTGGAGCTCCCCGAGCTCCCGACTCCAAGCCAAGCGCTCTGAGCCCAGCTCCGAACTCCTGGCCACAAACGCAGAGGCCGAGCTTCTCTCTGCGTCGGGAGCACGAACTAGGCGACCATGTGCAAGCCTTGCAAAGCTTGCCCATCTCTGCGTAGGTCCTCCACTGAGTCGGACCGAACACCTTCGGCAGGCAGAAAGAATCGAGCAGAGGCTCCAAGAGATGCCGAGCCACCAGCCTTTGCAGGAAATCGATATCCCTCCTCCTCAGCACACAGAGGGGCATCTGAAGGTTCCTGGAATGACGTGGTTCCAGCCTTCTTCCAGGACAGCAGAGGTCTGATGCCCTGCGCCCTGCTCGTGGCATACCCTCAGCATGGAGATTCCAGTTCGAAATATGGTTCACGAGTCTCTTTTTCAATCTTGTGTGGTTTCGTTCGAGACTTTGCAACTCAAGGGAAGCATCTTGCCCGTCGTTTTCTTACCCCCCAACTGAGGATCACGCGCTTGAAGGAGCGGTCGAGCATCTGGAAGACAGTGAAGACGCCCTGAGCGGCTGCTGCAGCTCCCGAAACGCGGGCCCTTCCCATGGCCTGGCCTCCTCTGGATGTGGAGACGTGAGGAGCTTCCCATCATCAGCCGCCTGTGTCGCCTGCCACACCTCGCGAAAGGCCCGAAACGCCGAGGTCCCATCGGCATCCCGGTCCCGACCGAGGGAGCTGCGTCCGAGCCCGGGCCGCTGCCGTTGATCTTCGCCTTTCGGACCGGCCCTCGGCGCACAGAAACTGAAGGCAGAGCGAACCACAGAGACACGGTGGAGAGAGAGGAAGAGAGGAAGAGAGGAAGAGAGGAAGAGAGGATGAGGGGGCGTGGAGTGGAGGATGTGAGCCTCGCGCGTGCGAACTCCGGTACTCCGGCCAAGGCCTTCTGCAGCATCCACACCGGGCCTCCGGAAGGTCAACAACTTCTTCGAAGCATCGCCGACTCCGCCAGTCTCGTGCACGAGTCCGTGGCCGAGGGTCAAGATCCATATTAGGAAGTCCTCGGCTGCACGCACAGCTGTCATCAGCTGTCAATGGCATGCGGCATGATGCTAATGCTGCTGGTGATGGCGTCGCAGCTGAAGTTGCTGCTCCCCCATTCCTCTTTCTGGTCTTCCTCTTGGGTGCCCCGTTTAGGAGTGCCTGAAAGGGCTCCCGTCCTTCACAGCGGATTCTGGGCAGAATCACGCGCATCGCTGCGCCAGGCACAGAAATTGACCAGCAAGGCGCATCGTGGACAGTTTGCGTTTGCGCGAAGCTCACCATCTAGCCCAAACGGTTCCCGACTGACACGCTTTACACTTGATGCACAGCGTGCGTCGAAGCCTCGCGAAAGGTAACCTCGCGCCTCGCACCGACACAGCTATGCCATCTACATTCGTGCCTGTTCGTGCCCACACCCTGGATCTGAGCTTCCAAGCATCGCAGGCAATCGCAGGGTGCGCTTATGCTTGTGCTGTGCTTCTGCGACGAAGGCTCCAAGATCACTAGCACGAGCCCCAGGACGTGGAGCAGGGCCTCGGGCGGAGGCGGAGCCCCCCAAACAACTACAGGTACGAAAGGACTCCGGAATCCGGAACGTCGAAAACATGCAGCTCAGAAGAGGGCACTAAGGGCACCGTTTGCCATGGCCAAGCGCCAGGGGCCTCTGCTTCCTTCACTGCCTGCTTGAGCCTCCAAGAGGAAGAAGGTCTTTCGATGCGTCTCGCGTCCCATCATCCCATCATCCCATCATCCCATCATGTCATGGAGACTCTTGGACTTGGACTGTTCAAAATCTAAAATCACAGCGGCTGCAGAGTCAGAAAAAAAACGCTCTGATCTTGACCCTTTCTCATTCCAAGGGTGTCCGGTTGAGAAGTCGGTGGAGCACAGCGATGGCCACCTCAATCTTCAGCGGCCATCAGCTGGAAAGCACATGCGCATGGCTTCAGTTTAGTCAGAGCCACCAGAGCCCAGCCGAAGCCCAGGGGGGAGGAGCGGGAAAGCCCCCGCACTGGGACAGGCCCCGCCGAGATATGGGAGCTGTTCTGTGGGACCAGCCCTGCGAACGCAGGACAATCTCGAAAGCTGCTGAATCTACCCTCTACACGCTTCTGCCTGTGGCTTGCACGATCCACGCCGACACATCTCCATAATCCTTGGAGCTCCATGAACCCTGTAAAGCCGTTCATGCACACGCGACTCACCTGCTCGAACCTCGTTGCTGACCGGCAGCATACGGATTGGCATGCCTTCCAGATTGCCAGCGCTGCCACGGGCTCGATGAGTTTGATGGCCAGAACAAAACGTAGGTGGGCAAGTAGTTGATGTCCCACCTTTGCTGGCTGAGAAAACTGATCCGTTCGACGTCCACCACCACATGTCGCGGCTTCTCAGCCAGGGCTCTGCAGAAAGGTGCGAATGCTCATCTGCTCGGTTTCGACTCGGATCTTGGCTGCTGCCAACCGACTATGGGCTATGGGCCACAAAAAAATAATATGAATCGCGCACTTGAGACTTGGCCCAAGAAGCGTATCTCAAGGCCGGGAAAGAGCTCGCCAGCCTCTGCTCTGTCAGGGCCTGCCCATCGCATCGATTCTTCATGCTCTTAAGGAGGGTTCCAACGTGTCGAGGGACAAGCTTTGCCGACTGAGACAGTGGTGAGGAGCTCGAGAAAAATGCAGCCACAAACGGGCAGCGTTCCTGTGCAAAAGGAGCCACTTGAAGCTACGCGCTCAGCGATCTCAAACACGTCGTGGCCTCTGCAAGCAGCACCTCCAAGGCGTCTGCGTGACCTGCACTTCATGGGGTCAGTGCGGGGTGCCAGTGGAGCTGGCAGCTGTGCAGGCTGAGTGGATTACGCTCTTCAACAGGGCCTCCTGGCTTCGGACAAGCCTCCTGGGGCTCTCGACAGCGAACAACACGGGGCATCAGTGGCTAACTGCTCGCAGACTTGCATTCCTACAATTTTGAAGCGGCGAGTCCTCAAAGACCTCTTGAAGGTCTTCTTTTCGGAATCCTTCTACAGGCTTTGATTTGCAGATCTTTGTAGCTTTTGCAGCTCGAAACGGCTCGGAGCCTGCAAAGAGCGACCAGGGCCACTGCCACCAGCCTCCGAGCGCAGAACAAAAGGGGCCACCGAAGCTGTAGGAAAAGTCCGAGAGCTGGAGAGCAGAAACCCAGGCTTTGAGGCCTTGGCTTTGGACATCCGAAGCAGCTCCCAGTCCCAGCTCAGAGAGCACCTGAGCCGAGCGCAAAGAGCAGAGTGCCACGGAGATCTCAACCTTCGCTTGGCTCGTCGCAGAGAGAAACAGAAGGGCGACTTTCATCGAGCACTCCCGCGCTTTGCTCTTGGTGCCATGGCACTGCTCTTGGAACAAAAGTGTCAGATGGCTGAACATGGCTTGAACGCTGCAGAGCTCGGCCCTCAATGTCTGCATGAGCGTACTGCGGGGAGAGCCCGTTGCTTCTCTCAGGGATGTGTCTTGTGCGTCTAAGCTTCAATCTGAGGTCTCCGAAGTCAGGGCAGCAGCAATGCGTTACAATCTTGCAGCCTCGAAACCCATTCAGACTCTACCCCTGCACCTCTCTTCTTCCCGGATGCAGGCGACGCAAGTCTTAATGCGGATCTGTCCACCAAACAATTAACCTGCGGGGGGATCTGACAGTGGTCGTAAGAACGCACTTCAAAACGTCGCCGCCACTCCCACCGGCCCACACAAGCGATGTGGCGTTGTGGGCATGACGGCTGCGACGGCTGCACTCATCTGCACAAAGCCCCACATTGTTCCAAAAGTTGAGTGCAAGCTTTCTGCCCGCTAGCTGCTGGCCACGGAAAATGCCTCCCTTGTGGCGCCATTGAGGCAGGGTCGTCCTCCTCTTGGAGGAGGTAGGACCAATCCAAATTCGGGCATGGCCATCTCAGACCTGGCATGCAGAACCAAATGGTTGTTGCGACCACTTCAATTTACCCGGGCCCCCGCGATGCTTGCGACCACTTCAATTTACTTGTGGCCCCTGCGTTTTTTCCAAGAAATTCATTGGGCTCAAGATGGGCTCCGTCTGGGCTTTCAGAAATCCCCGCATGTTTGTATGGCGAGTCCAAATGACCAATTTACTTAAATTGGGCAGGCCCAGGTTTAAGTAAATTGAATCACTCGGCCCCAGTTTTAGCCCCAGTTTACGTAAGTTGGATCGACGATGGGGGTGCCACCCCAGCAACGTGTCACCCCTGCCTCCCTCCCCCCATCCTACAACAATACTTTTACAAATCCAAGTGGGTGGGCCCCCTACGTTTTTTTCCTGAAAAATTCAATGGGCGGCTCCGGGTGGGCTCCGTCTAAGACCGCTATCAAAGACACAGCGGATGTTTCATGGGCTTTGTGGCGTTTTCGTTCGGGTTCGGCCCCCTACACGCTGCCGCGACGACGATGCGAGGATGACACGGAGGACTTGGCTCTCGGGTTTGTTTCTTCCGACATCCAGGTGGTCTTTTTGCAGTCAGAGCTTCGACATCAACGACAACAAAAGCGGCAGAACAGCTGCAGGTCAGAAGTGACAGCTGTCTCGCTCAAAGCCTGCTCGGGGCTGGTAGGCGATGCAGGCGCTTCCTGGATGCTCTCGGACACCTTTGCTGCATCACTGCCGCATCGCAGCGCGCGGTGGCCAAACGCATTTAACAACCCACCTGTTCTGTCTTCTCGAAGCCATCGCACCGTTGAGGCACCTGCTTGAGCCGTGAGGATGGTGCCGGGACTGACAAAAGGTCCGGAGACCAGCTCGGCTGCACTAAGTTTGGTGCAATCGCACGGACTCACTCATTTGTCCACTCTCCCCTTCTGGACGTTGGCGAACTGAAGTCTCGAGCTTGGCTCGTGGCGTTTTCCAATTGCGTAATTAAGCCAACTAAACACAGCTTCACAGGAGGCGCGAACGTAACTCCGGGTGGGAGAGGTGGGAGAGAACGATAAGCTAACTCGAACTGCGCACTCTGGCCTCTGCTGCGAACGTCGCAAGATGCTTCGACCCTCGTTAGTCGCGGTTCTCGTTACGCAAGCTTGTCACTAAGAACACTCGTGTTCTGCACGACAAGCTCAGCTACACTAGGCTTGGTGCAGTCGCACGGACGCATTCTTTTGTTCACTCTTCCCCACCAGGACGTTGTAGCCAGCTTCGCGGGGATCACAAAGCCCGTCTTTTCCTTGAATAGCCGCCGATGGTAGTCGCAAAGGCAAGTCGGCCTGGACGTTGCTGCATCTCCTTGGCCGTTACTTTCCCAGCCTTGGATTTCTCGCCCAGCCAGCGCGCCAGCCATTTGCGCCCACTTGGAGGAAGATCCCCGCACGAAGAGGAAGAGATAGCACAGAGGTATCCCTCAAAGTCGCCGGCATACAAGAGTAGCACTAAGGGGTAGTCCGGGCCCACCAGGTGGCGAGTAGCCCTGATCCCACAGGGCGCTATCCGGGCCCACCAGTAGCTCGCAGGTGATAGCCCGAAAATACCGGCCTTGTTCACTTAGAATTTGACGGGATCGTCTGCGTCTCATCGATCTGGCACCCCATGTAGCCATGCTCACTAGCCTGCCGCTTGTAGCGGCCTTGGAAACATCCCCCGCGACCGAAAAGCCTCCTCCTCCGCCTCCTCGAACTCGCGGAGGATCAGTTTCTTCTCCCTGGCCCCGCGCACTCAGATTTTGTCCCGGCAACTTATCCGGTTGTTCACCTTGGTCGCGTTATCCTCTTCTTATCCTTCTCCTCGTCCTCGGCAATCACCGATAGCCCGGTGCTCTCCGAACCTCGCCTTAAACTCTCCGAGCGTCATCCTCTCCATGAGTCCTTCCTCCACATCCTCGTCGAACTTAGCCCCAGGAGGTTTGCTCCTCGAACACATAAGTGTCCTCTTTACAATTCCCAACGGTAGCCCTTCTCGGCACGCCGAAGAAACTCTCGGTCCGGATCGCCCGCTGGCTCAACGATCGCCCGGAGCAGCCAAAGACGCAGGGGCTGGCCCGCAGGTGCATCAAGTAGGCCCGGTTCACGTTTATCGTGGCCTGCTATCCATTTCTTGAACAGCTCGAGAATCTCTCCATGAATCAAACATTCACTGTCGAAACGCCTCCATAGCTCCTCTTCCGATCCGATTCTGGCAAGTATGGTATCCGGAAGCTTGCCCCTTCGCCATGTCCCGGAAGGCTCATCATAGCCCCGTTTGGCCTTGGGCCAGCGACCACGGGAACATAACCCCACGCCGTGGAAGTCCTTCACCCTAGCATTTCCGGGTGGTCCGGTACCCCCTCGTACTCGTTCGCCCTCGGCCTTGTTGACGATGTAGTCCAGTTCGGGTGCTGGCTGCACCATGGTGCACGTAGCCAAGGCAAGCTGCGCTAGCCACCGCTAGCCACTCAGCGAGTTTCGGTGGCGGTGTGTCGCCCTTAAGCCTTGGGTGTTACGTTGGCAGTGGCCACAGGTAGTAGCCCTGTCGTCGTAGGACGGTATCCCTTCCGAGACAAAGTCTGGTAGCTTTAAGTGGGTCTTGAGGAGTAGCCGTGCGAGTTTCACTGAGTTCGCCCCCACTTGTTGGCACTTCTACGAACACCGTGCACTGTAATGAATGCGTCAGCATACAGATGTAATACTGAGTGAACCGCCTGGGCTGTAGTTGAGGTAGCAAGTGTAGCAGTTGGTGGAGTTCTTGCTTCACCCGCGGAGCCGCCACGGTGTCAGCGAACTCGGGTAGCTTGCATCAGGCGCAGCTGCCTTGGCGCGACCCGGTGCCGGTTCGTGGTCCACGGAAACATTGAACAGCCGCGCGATGTTCTTTTGCAAATTCTTCTGGACGGCGACCAAGACTTCCAGATCGAACCGAACGAGTAAGGCGTAAGGGCTCTAGCTCCGCGAACTCGGCGTTCATCACGGTGTGGATACTCGCCCACAGGTCTGGAGTGCCCTCATCACCTCCCCATGTGCCAGCCATGGCAAATAGCTCTCCGAAGAGAAAACGAAAAGCCAAGTCGAACTGCGCACTCGAGCCTCTGCTGCGAACATCGCAGATGCTTCAGTCGCAGTTCTCGTTACGCAAGCTTGTCACTACGAAGACACGTGTTCTGCACGGCAATGCCGAGGCCGAGGCGGGCCAGGTATCTGTCTCGCCGTTGCGCGGCTGCACCCAGGCGTGCTTCAAGGCCTGCGGCGCAGGTGCAGGCGCAGGCGCCGCAGTGGCACAGGCCCCCGCATCCCAGGCCCTGTTATGGTGATCCTCGGAAGCGGCTTGCCGCTGGCTCGGCTGCCATGTCAGCATCGGCAGGAGGAAGTCCGCCATCTGAAAACAACCAAGCTCACGAAACCCTCGAGTGGCAGAGTGTACGAGAAGAAGGAAATTCAGCACGAAAGCGCGCAGCTCCGTGGCCGCACGAAAATATTTCGCTCGCTGCTTCTCAGTCTCCTGCCTCCAGAGCCTCGGCCTCTTCCCAGCGGTACTTCTCCTGGAGGACGCCCTCCAGAGGCCACATCCTGCAGAGAACGTGGCGGCACAGGAAGGGACTGCTGCTCTGCACGCACGTGTGTACCAGTTCGGCTACGGAGAAGAAGACAGGCTTCGGGAGCGCGCTTCAGCTTCTTGATGTGTTTGAGCTTGGCCGCATTGTTGAAGAAGTCCTTCCGGTGCGAGACTCTGCACGTGTCTCCCGTGCCGTGCCGCACATGCCAGCTGCACCTTGGAGTAGCGCCCCGACAAAGCAAACTCCTTGGGGCGCAAACGCTTGTTTGAATGAACTTCGCGTGACCGTGATGTGCCCTGGGTGCCTTCGTTGGCAGGTCTCCGAGCAACTCGGCGATGAGGGCCAAGTGGTCCTCCTCCCGATTCCAGTCCTGGATGCACGGGAGGATGCTGGTTGGAGCTTGCTCTTGTTGCCGACATGTGCCAACCTCCCCCTTCTTGGGGTCGAAGAGGTAGTCGCCCGTCGCCAGCTCGAAGAACATGCAGGCTGCACTCCAGACCTTTCAAAATGCCAAAGCGGATGTGAGGTGCAAGTGAAACGATGCAAGGGCGCCACATCTGCCGTCTCGTCCCACTTGGCCCCAATGATTACCTGCTCATCAAGCTGGGCTGGACCGCAAGAGTTCGCGAAAGGGGTCAGAATAAGCCTCGGGAGATCGATACTGCCGCGTCTGAATGTCATCCGTCACCGGGTTGTTTGCCTGGCTTCCAAACCGTCTTGAAGGCGGCTACGAAGTAGGAAGGGCGAGGAGCAGTAAGCACAGAAGCGCTGAGCTCAGCCGTGTGCACTCTGTTTGAACACCTTGTTCTGGGCTAAGCCGTCATTTCTGTGCTTCGAGTGCTCCTCTTTGTGGAAGCACAGCACAGGTGGCACGGACAAACTGCAGGACAGGACCGTGGCAATGTTTTCAGCGGTTTAGAGGGACAGAAAGCAGAGGCCGAAGCGCGAAAGCCTGCCACCCGTGCAAGAACGTTGTAGCATCTTTACAACGTCTGTGCGAAGGACACATCACTCCGGAGTCCGGAAACGATGCATCGTGGAATTTCCCGTAGCTCAAAGGAGCAGCAAGAAGGAATCTGAACAACTTCGGCGCTCAGAGGAACGGAACCGTTCGTAATTACGGGAAATCTCAAAATTGAGGTACGAATTCTCGTCAGCAACGGTACGTCATGACCCCCCCAATGGCCTGTAGCAGGGTCGACAAGCAACACTGTGCTGAAGGGATGCTGCACGATTTGGCATATCATGCTTCGCGGCACCTTCAAAAGCTCTGAGTGAGCTGGTGACCTCGGGGCTGAAGCATGCGGAAGGCAAAAATACCTTTGAGACCGAGTTCTTAATTCCAGTGACGGGCTTCCACAAAGCTTCAGAGACTTGCAGCACTTGCCAAGTGCATTTGTACATAGCGATCCGAAGATCTGGCAGACACTAGACTGGCTTTGGCATGTCACACAGGTTCGACGGCAATTACTTTGAGCAAAGCTTGCATGTGCTGTGGGAATTTTAAGCTTCACACACAGAGCCAGCATGACGAAGGCTGTGCCGGACCCACTCACTCATCGAGAAGCATTCGCAGCGTTGATGCTGTCAGCTTGTTGTGCATGCCTTTGCAAGCCTCGCTATCCCAATACACTGAAATCACCCCAGCCCCGAACTCGCACCTCTACTGCTTGAGGGTGCGCAAGCAGCTGCACAACCGTGCTGCAAAAATTCAAACTGTTCTGCAGGCCACTCCATGCGTCAGGAATTCTTTCGACGTTGCCTTCTTGACGCTGTCGCTTGGTCACTTATTGGGCAACATCGTGCGAACTCACGGGCATGGCGGTTGAAAAACTCAACTTGTTCCATTGAATCCGAAAGGCTGGCTAGACCCTGTTCACCCATCCTCCCGTACACCCCAACCTCAAGTCTCAACAATCTGTGTCATTCAACGGGCTGTGCTCAGTTCTCCTGACCGACACCTGGGCATGCACAGAATCCGTCAGGATGCAGCAACGTCCGATGCTGCCTCGACCCAGCCGGAGCTGAGCGCCTTTGGTCCTTGGCGTCCGAAAGGGCGCACCCCAACCCCGAAGTCCCTGCAAATCCCCGCAAATTCTCTCTCTTCTTGGGACCGTGGCAAAGGCCCTTGTCCTGCCTGCTGTGCAAGGCCCGACCTGAGAGCCGGTCCCGGTAAGCCCTGTGACTGTGTGCAAAGTTGCCTCGGGCCGAGGCGGCCCTTCGGTACCTGGGCTGCCGTCACACTCTGTGCTAGCAGGCTAGCACTACACGGCTCTACACGCCAGAGCTTTGCAAGTCGAGACACAGGGGCTGCCGTCTCTCCAAAGGCTCAGAGACACCTAGGCCTAGGCTCAGGAAGGCGCAAGCGAGAGAACATCACAAAAGCACCGCCCATCTCTCGAGAAACCGCTGGCCTCCAGAGCTGCTCTCAGCTCACTTTGTCACTTTGCGCCCTTGCACGTGAACTCTCACGGCAGCAATATGATTTATTAAAAGACAACGAGCAGGCCCCTAACAGAGTTGGAGGTCGAATGTAATCCTGACTAGGGCACGGATGCTGTCGTCACATGTCGTCACCCTGTGCACTCGGAGATGGATGCACGCTATCAGATAAATATCATGGCAATGGCATGGAAGCTCTTCTAACTCCACGCATTGGCAAATGGAAATGGGGCTCGGGCGTGGGTACTCTTGTGACACTATGACAATGGGCTGGCGGCTACATGGCGCAACCGGGACTTGAAACGGGCCATGGGCCGTGGGCGCTTTACCTAGAACCTAGGGACCTAGAGTGCCATTGCTAAATCCTCCCTCAGCATCATCAGACAGCAACGTAGCAAAGTTTGCAGCTCCCTGTTCAGCTACGTTCTATCCCTCCCGAACGGTGGCGCCTTGCTCCGCATCTGAAGCTGCATAAGCTGTTGCTGCGCAAACTGATGCCTCAATTAAATGAGCGGGTCTCTGCGAGTCAGAGCAACGCGGTCCCCGGGCTCCGGGCTGTTGCAGCTGAGCCTGCTGAAGCTGCCTCTCCAACCTACAGGTAAAGAGCCAACAACCTCTGCTTCCTCGAACAATCTCCGCCAAGGTTCGCCAAAAGAGTGAACACTTCTTGGCTCGCGGCATCTCAAGCAGCGAGGTGATTGCTGCCTTTTTCCTGTAAGTCCGGAGCGGAGGAATCCGGGCAAAAGACACCGAGGTGACTGCGAAAACCGTGGGGCCCTCGGGCCACCACCCGGGTGAGGAGGCAATGCGACTGTAGAGGACCTTCATCTCCTGCCAGGCGCACAAGCGCAAGCGCAGAAAGCACTCCGGCCATCAAGCCTCGGCACACCCACAGGCCCCCCGGTGCTGAACTGCTCTTTAAGCTACAAGCCACCCTGAGTGTTGCCGCAGACCTAAGCCCTGACGAGTCGAGATTCTGCGTGCGTCTAACAGACTGAAGATCGGTGGCGCTTCGCATGGTGAATGCTGATGGGAGAGGCGTTGGTTTGTCAGCATCGAAAGCGAGCGCCGCTCGCACACCCGCAGCAAGCACTCTCATCTCTGGTAGTCATCTCGATGCATCCAAAGATGCGTCGGTGCTCTTAAACAGCAGCAGACTGCTGCCCCCGACCCTGAGCGCTCCTCGGGTCCTCGGCTGTACTCCACCAAACTGTTGGCCACGTACTTCCCGAACCTGCGAGGCGAGTCGTCCCGCAGGAGGAGGCGCGGTGTAAGGCGCGGCCTGTCATCCATCAGCTGCGCCAACGGTGAGCTCCGATCCGAGGGATCCTGCAGTCTGGGGAGCTTCTGTGCAGCGGAGCCGCTCTGTCTTGCCTTCGGCGCGGGTCCCAGGACGGCGCGGATCAGGCGCTGGCGCTCCTCCTTCAGGAACGCCGCCTTCGTGTGCCAGGCAGAGGAGACTCTCTGCCTCTCTGTACCCTTCTTGAAGGTGGGACTCAGCCGCGAGCATGCTCACCGGTGGTTGAAGCCTCCCCATCCAGAAAAGTTCACCCGCTAGGCGCACATAATTGGAACCTCCATTCGGGAAGAAGAGAAGCCCTTCAGGACGAAGCCCGGACGCGAACCGAAAACGTTGCGCCGCCGCTGCCGGCAGCAACTAACTGTCTTTTTTGCGAATGCCTCGAAACACTTCTCCACCACATTGCTCGCATGTTTGTCCTCGCTTGCAGTCGTCAGGCAAAAGACAGAGCAAAGGTTGTGAAGTCCTTCCCAAGCTCAAGCACCTCTGAAGGCAGCGCAGGACATGTTGCTGAACTGTAGTCCATATATGTCCATATGAGGCTGCCACGTGACCACAGACCTCATTCACAATGCTCCTGTAAGTTGATTGGCTGATAAAGAACAAGCAGAAGCAGGCAGGCGCAGCCGGAGGAAAATGATAACCGGCTGTCTATGATAGCTCCTCTTGTGCTCAGGATTGCCATGCTCAAGGATGTGGCGAATGACCTCCAGCTGAAGCTCTTGCGAACACGTGCAGCAAAGGATTGACACTCGAAAACAGCGCTAAGCCCATCGCATAGTTGCCGTATGGATCCGTAGACAGTTTGGTGATGCCTCAGATGCTGCGCGTTGTGCAATACAGCATGAACAGCTGAAGTTACAACCGTCAGCTGAGCTGAGCGTCTGCGGAGGATCTGCTGCAACATCTTTTCCAGGCGCTTTGGTGTGCAGTGCCTTGGAGTCACCGAGCTTATCGCGCATTTTGTCGGATCTCGGCTACGGGTCTCTCACTCCAGCAAGCGCTGGATGATTCTGCACCCGTAGATGTGCGCCGCCATAGCTTCTGCCTTGTCCTGTACCCCCGTGGAGGCCACTTGCACAGCGGCTTAGCTTCACGTGCCGTCCCAAGTTCCCAAGACTTCTGGCAGGCCTCGACGGCCTCCACGACAAAGGAGACCGACTCCGGGGGCATCTGTTCAATGCACTTTTGGACCTGCAAGGCTTTCCCTTGCTGGGCAACTCCTTTCAAGCAGGTAAGTAGGTTACAGCAGCAACGTGACGGAGTCGCCACGTGGTTGCCATGCATGCTCTTGATGCAATCCTTAGCCAGAATGGCTTTATCAATGGGACAAACTTCATACGTTGTGCTGTACCGCAGCCGAGCTCCGTGCAATCACTCCATGCCGCAACTCTCCGGCAAGCATGGATTGGAGTTCTGGTGGGCAAACCTGAAAAGCCTCCCAGTGGATGCTTTTCCTTGGGCTGCATCATCCTTTTGATGTGATCTGACAAAAGTGCCTTCTGGATGACGCGGCAGCCGTGCATCTTCAAGGACAGCTTCACAACTGATTGCCGGAACTTCTCCACGATGGCCTGTGCGGGCCGTGCCACGTTCGCTTCGTAAGTTGTGACGGTTGCAGGTCCAGTTCTTTTGAAACGGTTGGCTACCCACGGCCATGCACTTGGGTCCTCTCGGGTCGCCTTCTTCATTTGTGGTGGAAACGGAATCTAAGGGGGCTGTCATATCGTTGGCCGAGCGTCTCTGCGCTGGTCTGGTGTGCAGATGTCCAGCAACTTCTGCACCTGCACTCCCAAAGCTGATCTTGCCTTGCAAGGCTGTCGTCTTCTGAGTCTTCTGAGTGACGAACAACTGCACTGCCGGAAGAGTCTCCAGCAAGCATCTCCATCTGAGCACTGAGCACGTGAGGCTGTGGCCAGGACGCCGACCTCCCCAGTCGCCTTCGGAAGCAGTGCATC